AGGTTGATTCTTGGTATCGTTGCAGCTGAAAATTTACACTTGGAGCAGCTGGATGTGAAGACTGCTTTTCTTCATGGCAACCTTGAAGAAGACATTTACATGGCTCAACCAGTAGGTTTCCCAGTGAGTGGCAAGGAGAGATTGGTGTGCAAACTCAAGAAGAGTCTATACGGACTGAAGCAAGCTCCTAGACAGTGGTACTTGAAGTTTGATAGCTTTATGCAGCGGAATGGGTACACTAGATGCAAGATGGACCATTGCTGTTACTTGAAGAAATTCGAGTCATCATACATTATTCTTCTTTTGTATGTTGATGACATGTTAGTGGCTGGATCAAACATGCAGGAGATCAACAAGCTCAAGAAGAAGTTGTCCGAAGAATTTGAGATGAAGGATTTAGGGGAGGCGAGACAGATTCTTGGGATGAGCATAGTCAGAGACAAGGTGGAAGGTACTTTAAAGCTTTCACAGCAGAAGTACATTCAGAAAGTCCTTGAGAAGTTCAGAATGACGGATGCCAAGCCAAGGAGTACACCTTTAGGGAGTCAGCTGAAACTCTCCAAGCAGCAGTCTCCAAAGACCAATGAAGACAAAGATGAGATGGCTAAAGTTCCTTATGCATCAGCCGTTGGCAGCTTGATGTACGCAATGGTGTCAACAAGGCCGGACATTGCTCATGCAGTGGGAGTTGTTAGCAGGTTCATGTCGAATCCAGGGAAGGAACATTGGGAAGGAGTCAAGTGGCTGCTACGCTACTTGAAAGGCACTTCTGGAACTACTCTTTGTTTCAGGAGGAATGAAGTAATTCTAGAAGGATTTGCTGATGCTGATTTGGGGGGCTGTCATGATTCCGGGAAGAGCACTACGGGTTACATATTCACTATTGGAGGTACGGCAATCAGTTGGATGTCCAGATTACAGAAGAGTGTAGCTCTTTCAACCACAGAAGCAGAATATATGGCTATTGCTGAAGCGGCCAAGGAGATGATTTGGTTGAAGAACTTTCTTTCGGAGTTGGGCATGGAACAGGGGGATTGCGGACTGCATTGCGACAACCAGAGTGCTATTCACCTCGCGAAGAATCCAGTGTTTCATAGCAGAACGAAACACATCAAGATGCGATACCATTTTATCCGAGAGTTGATTGAAGACGGTGTCATAAACTTGAAAAAGATCCTTGGTACGAAGAATCCAGCAGACATGCTTACCAAGGTGGTGACAACGGAGAAGTTGAAGCTATGCATGGCTTCAACTGGCCTTCCAGATACTTGATGGGAAGGTGTGAACGAGAGATAGAGATCAGGGGTGTTGCAGAGGATACATGTTCTTGGATGGCAGATGACTGTTGAACAAGCCTCCAAGTGGGAGATTGTTGAGATGGAGCCTTGTTTGGAATGCAGAAGTATATACCCGATCGGGTATGTTGGGTTACCCGATCGGGTATGAGGTGTTTGATGGGTCGAGTATTCTCTGGTTTCTACACTCGATCGAGTATTGATTATTACTCGGTCGAGTATGCGTGTAAGGGTTACTCGGGTTATACTCTGGAGTTTATACTCGATCGAGTATGGAGGTATACTCGGTCGAGTATGTGTAAAAACACTACTCGGGCAGAATTCTGGAATCTATACTCGATCGAGTATGTATGTATACTCGATCGAGTATACGGGAAAAATTAATGACGGGATTAATTTTTGGGCCTGCGGCCTTAACCCATATTTAGGCTTTCTTAAACCTATTTAAACATCCCTAATGTATCTGTAAACACACCAGACGCTGGAATAATAATACATCTCTCTCTCGTTCGCCGTGGACTAGCGTAATCACACCGATTGCGTGAACCACGTAAATTCTTGTGTTCTTGCTTTAAATTTATCGTTTATCTTAGCCTAATCGTGATAATTAACACCAACTGCCCAACTATCGATCAAACAAATAAGAAGACGACATAATTTAATAAATGATGCTATGTTTCGTATTAACTAGTTAACTACCCCTTACTTATAGGGCACAGTGTAATAACGACATACAAAAACAGCGCATGACAAAATTAGGGTGCTAATCGGGCGATTTGAGCTCGAGTTCATATCAAATCAAGTCATGCTTGATAAAGAAAAATTGAGTTTGAATTCCAGTCTGGTTCGAATAATATGGTTAAGTATGAGTCCTAGTCAGAAACAAGAGTTAATTATTAATTGGTACGAAATACTTCCTACGTTCTTTTTTAGTTGCAACATTCCTTAGTTTTTTTCACGCTTACCAACACACAACTTTGATTGTCATAATATTTCATTCTCTATGGGTAATAAAAAGTTAAAAATTGGATTATGAAACTTTGTAATGAGATGAATTCAACGATATTTTTCCAAAAAAATTAATTCGTATACATTAATAAATAAAATGTAGTAAAAGTAGAGTTCATGAATAGTGTGTAAATTTCAATGTTGCAACTAATATGACACGGGGATAGTATATGTGATGTGTGCAACAAAACCATTATAAAAAGAACAATTCTTGATATATATACCTTTTTGTACACTTTTCATATACACCTTATGTGTATAGAAATAACTTCCAAAAAAATTGCATTTTTAGACAAATTGTCCGTATATACAAATACAATAGGGATGTATAAAAGAGTAGAAATCCAATTTTCCTTATAAAAATTTATCTCCATCCCCTCATGAATGCCAATAGAGTTCCCACTATAAAATCTGATTTATAGAGAGTGAAGAGTTTGAACTACTACGTACTATTTATGAAGTAACGCTTTCAAAGATTGTAAGGGGTATGATTGTGACGTGCTTAGAAACGTGCATGTTATGCAATGGTCTAATCAGATTCAGTGGCGGAGCTAGAATGACAAAATTATGGAGACCGAAATTTAAGGAATTTATATTGGGGGGCCAAAGTTTAAAATTTCAATATATTTTTTACTTTTATAAATATTTATACATACTATATAATTATATACATCAGACATTTTGGGGAGGCCCCCGCCAGCCTCTCCCCAATCTGATCACATGCACAACGTAACCCAACGATCGGTGGTCCAAGCTGGCTCGATCAAGACTCATAATTGGGATTGCAATTATGTACTCCGTATATTACTATTTGTTGACTCATAATTGGGAATGCAATTAAGTCCATAGTAAATATTGTGGTAGAGCCTCATATTTGGCATTTAAAGAAAAGAAACAAGTTTATACTCCCTGTGATCTTTGATCGAACTAGTTAATTAATTAGACTCAATCCTCTAGTATTATTTCATTCAATTATTTTAGCTCACCATCGATTTCACTGACTCATGGCTCGAATCAGAATTGTGCTACTCAAATCTGATTCTTGCAAATAGGGAATGGAATGGATGATCCAACGCCCATTCATTTATGTCCACCTAGAGATGGCAATTGTGACCGATCCGATGGCTACCCGCACCGAACCGCCCCGGTCAAAATGGGGAAAACCGCATTGACCGGGTAATGGGTACGGGGCGGGGAATACCCGTTTTGTTTTTATGGGTAACGGGGCGGTTACGGTTTTATGCATGCCCGCCCCATTACCCGCCCCGTACCTGCCCCGTTTATTTTTAGTTATATTTTTATTACATTCTTGTCTATTATTTGTCCCACGACTAATAAAAGATGAAAATTTTAATGTTCATTGTGTATATATGGATAATAGATGTACTAACTATAGTGTAAGAATGAAAGTTCTCAATAGAACTTAATAGTTTTGTTTGATTATTATATGATTTTTCGTGATTAATTATTTTTCAGATCAAGTATTTTTAGGTTCAAATTAATTTAGGTTGTCTTCTTTCTCGTCTTATAGATATATGAAGCTGTAAAGTAGCGTATGAGTTTAGCGTCGTCTAGGTGATGTCATTTTTCGCATTTTAAAATATTATTTTTATTAAAATATAATGACTCATTTAATAAAGTGATTACTCGCGGTTACCCGCGGTTATACCCGTTACCCGATGGGGCGGTTATGGTTTGGGTAAAAATTACCCGTTGGGTAATGGGGCGGTTATGGGGCTGGGGAATTACCAAACGGGGCGGGTACGGTTATATGTAAAACCGTTCCCGATCCGCCCCGTTGCCATCCCTATGTCCACCCCTATTTCTAGGCGTAACTAGCTCCCCACATGCACGTGCATCATGTTTCTAATTCGGTTGCTTTACGTACAACACCGATTTCTGTTGCCGTGAGAATTTCCCATGTTCTCGTATAAAAAATGCGTTACATCCCAATATCCCATTCCAACTTCCAAATTTCTTGATGCGGTTTTTAAGAAAAATGATTTCAAATCACACAAAATTTACCCAATTTGGTATGAGACAATCTTAGTAAGACAGATCGAAAAGGAAAGAAACAACAATCTTAACGAGACGAATTATTTTCTTATCAAGTTTTTGTTAGCAACTGATTTCACTGACTATTGACCTCTAAAATCCACCCAAACTTTTGATAAAGTAAATATTTAAGTCGTTTAACAATTTGTTAGATTTTCACCACCATTCATATGCACCATCACATATAGAAAATCACTCTTAACTGATTGATTGGACGTGTCCTTCGGTTTTCAGCACGTACTACTCCCAGAATTCCGAGAGAACCGATTGATCAAATACTAGTTCACATTTTGTTGTTTGAGGCGGCACGAATCGTTGATTGTGCGATCACTCAAGCTAGTTAGTCCGTGGTTAGAGGATTACCATTTGCCAAAATTCAAAAAGACTTGTGAAACAAACCTCATTCGTGACTTAAACTCAAGACATCTTCCAAGATAAGCATCTTAAGTGTGAGAAGTGGATCACTCTCACATTCATGTACATATTATTTTCTCATGGTCTATTCAATTCTTTCAAAAAATCATGTGACTTATATTATTATAATGAAATAATCTAATTCTAAACTACACAATTTGGTTAAACATAACAAATTAAAAGCAATGGAAACCTAATGGTGTGGATTGAGTAAGACTTTCAACGTACCTGAATTTGGTCACCGATGTTGACAATGAAAGCGTTCCTAGCTGGTTTAACGGTGATCCATTCGCCGTTTTGCCGGACTTGGAGGCCGGAGACTTGCTGGTCCGGCAAGAGAATAGTCAGCCCACCCGGATCCGAATGAGCCGAGAGTCCAAGGGTTAGGCCAGGTGAGGGGCATTTTGGGTAAAAGTTGGCTCTTAGACAAGTTCCAATATTTTCACCCCCAAAGGCATCTTGTAAAACTTCTTCCTTTAGTCCTAGGTTTCTCGACAATATTTTCATCAACTCCCCACACAATTTCACCATTTGTTCCGAGTACTCCTCAATTACTTCCCTACAAAATTTTGACAATAAAGTAAAATCATTAATGATGAGCATTGTTCTAAAACTCGCTAGGCGCTAGTCGGGCGGTTGAGGGGCGCCTAGCGCCTAGGCGGCCGACTAGGCCGATTTTTCGGCCGACTAGGCCGCTTTTTTGGCCGACTAGGCCGACTAGGCCTCTACGGTGAGGGCCGACTAGGCCGCCTAGGCCGATTAATCGGTCCGCCTAGGCCGATTTTTTGAACAGTGATGATGAGTATATAAAACTTAAATTAATGTTTGCCGAGGAGCGACGTACTACCAAAAAATATAACCGGATTCACTTAAATCTCTAGCAGGGATTCATCAAAATATATAGCAAATTTGACATGGATACGCCAAATCCCTGTCAACGCCGTTTTGTCACGATCGAACTATTTCACACGAAGTCGTCATAAATCCGTGCTAAAACTAAAAGTTCCTAAAAAACTCACAAAAATATCTCTTTGATCAGCTAATTGTGCCAAAATTCCCTTAAGATGTTTTTACTTGGACAGTAATTTGCTGGTCTGGTCTTATCTGTTTAAGTCTAGTCTAGTCTGGTCGGAGAATTGTCTGGTCTCTGTGTATTTTATTATAACTACAGAAGTCTGGTCTGTTCTAGTCTGTCTTGTCTGTTTAAGTCTGGTCTGGTATGTGTTGTGGTAAGCTAAATTGAATTGCCCTCTACTTATTTTTTGAAACATTTTTTCAAGTACGTGTTGTCCTATATACGTAATATATCGTTTCCGGTTTCTTTTAACTAAAACAAAACGTTGAACTAAAAATAAAAGTTATTTCAAGCATAACATATTAACATCGGTGTTATTGTCACATCGGTACTAAAAGTTTTTTCACTTCATGATACAACATATATCAAATATCTTTTGAAATCATTAAAAAGGAAACCGAAAATTGACTGCAATACCAAACAGGCCATTAAGATCCGGGGTTAGATCGTGTAACTATATATGGGCGGTGTAAGTCCACACATTTCAATCTCGTGGGTGAGCTAAACTTCGGGGTATCCTTTTCCTCACGTTGCAAGAAAAAGTCTTAATTAAGAAACATGTTTAATTTAGAATAACTAACGTAACCCAAGGGGAGCCCGTTCACTCAGGATTAAACTTGGAAGAAAAAAATTCCTAAATAAAAATAAAACGTAACACATTTCATTTAAAAAGAAGTGACATTGTTTGATAAGGACATCAATGATCAATGCCCCCCACCCCCACCCACCAAAATCAAAATGATGGGTATAGGTTATGAAAAAACAATTAAAGAAAGTTCGTTAAATGGAAGTAAATGTAGTACGTACATTTCCTATTTATAATGATACTCATTCATACCTATTATGGCAACTTTTGTATTCTTTTGATAAGACTAAAAAGGCTTATTATCAAACAAAAATACATGTCGAATTTGCTCAAAAAAGATTAAAACATAGACAACGTTCTAAAATATATGACACATATCTTCCTAAAATAAGAGTTACTTAATCTTGTTTGCGGAGAAAATTTGCAATGTTTTACTCATATTCAAGGAATTCTCTATACTTAATCCTACGTGAGGTCATAGCAACTTTTTAAAAAGTTTTACTTCATTATATTTAGAAACAATTCCGAGACTAAGGATGTTTTATTTTCAAGACAAGAACTTGCTTCTGAAAATGAGAGTTCAATCTTTTATTAAGACTAAACAAGTCTTTTCTTTTGGAATAAAATACTCCCTCCTTATCACAATAAGTGTCTCAGTAGGCTTTTCACGTAGTTTAAGATAATTTATAGGTTTATTGTAAACTTTTTGAAAAAGTAGTAGTTTTTTCGTACTGTAGCAATACTGTTTATTTTAAAGTGTCCTCTGTAGCTGCTTTTGGTTGGATTTATTTCTAAAAATGGAAGTGAGACACACTTATTTTGATAAGGTCAACAAAGGAAAATGAGACGTGATAAGGAGAAACCATTGTTGATCATGAACTTTGCCTATGTTTTCTCTCATTTAGATCATTATATTCTTTTTTTATACGATAGTATAAATGTACCTTATAGAGGAAGGGAGGGAAGGCCATTTGGTATGGTCCTTCAAAGAACAAGGAAGGCAATTAAGGAAAAAATAATCGCTCCAATCAAGAAGCGCCCCTTTCTCCACCCCGATCCGGCTACCGTACCCCTCGTACGTCGCCGGCGAGTTGGCGTACGGCTGCTTCACTTCCATCGGCAGGTGGAAGAACTCCCGCCACACTTCCCTCGCTCGGTCCATCAGCTCCGGCGTCACCCCGTGGTTCACCACCTGAAAGAACCCCCAGCTCCGGCAGGCCGCCGACACCTGTGCATGCACTTCCGCTGTATCCGCCGCCGTGCAGCCGCCGCCGTCGACGACGTGTGATGATGAGAGTAGCAATGGTTCCAAGTCTATTGTGGGGATGTTGATGGCGTCGCCGCTAGTGTGGCCGGCAGTTAACGACGGTCGATCGGCGGAGGGCTTAATGTATCTGGTGGGGATGGAGGAGAACCCCATTTCCGACAAAGATTGGACACGGACAATTGGTTCGGGCCAATCCATTGCCATCGGACAACTCATGGTTGGGGACTGATTGTTGGATAGGATACAAGAGACCATGCCCATCACACACTCCTATTTATATACGTAGTACGTAGCACTACGTAGTACGTAGTACTAGTATAATTTTTAATAAATTATTGTCATCTTTAAATAATACTACATCCAGGGAGGATCTATGTACAAGCTATGGTGAGCTGATGCCCAAAGCAATTTTAAAAAAAAATCGATTTTTTAGTGTAAATTTTTTCATTTTCCGCATTTAGCCCACCCGCCAATGTTTAAGTCTAATATAATTCCTATTCAGCTCAGGGTATCTTACATTCCTGGATCCGCCCATGATGTCTACCTCTATTCCAAAAAGATTGGCCAATTTGACTTTTCTTGATCAATGGTGTTAAAGTTTGGCTAATGATTTTAGGTATTATATTTATATGTAATTTATAAATTTTATACTTTTATAAAGAGTTTTTAATAAAGAATAAGCTCATACGTAGTACATGGTACTATCATAATTGACTAAGAAAAGTCAATTTGGTCAATCTTTTTGGTACGGATGGAGTACATGATACTATCATAATTTATTAGACACTAATTAACACTACTTTTTAAGTAGAGGGTTTTCCTAAAATATTATAACTAAAAAATCTATGGACAAAAATGTTACTATTAATGTTACTGTATACGATGGTATAAGTTTTTATAGTTACTATGATATAACATTTTAATACAATTATAGTAACTAAAATTACTATGATCACATTTTTGTCTAATACTTTTATTTTGGTTATATATTTGAAATTATTTTTTTTAAATATGGTAGAAATTACTCATAGTGAATATTCCTTAGAGCAATTACTTTATTCTTTATTACTCTTTTGTCTAACACATTTTTTCATTTCAATCCTTGTGTAATTTTGAGTATCAATTTGTACTTACATTTACCTACTCCGTAGTCTAGTCTGTATACTACGTATATCTTTTGATTAATTGATTTGATAAAACATTATGTATAGTTTTTATATAAATATGTTTTAAATCAACACTAATTTAAGATTATCATAATATAATAATTCTATAGCCGCTTTTTGCGCTTCAATTTTAGATGGAGGGAGTAATGTACGAAGTAATACGGAGTACTCAACTATGTGTAATTATATTAGGATCGAAATAAATGGTTAGAATGGGCGACGACCACACCTTTTTTGGGTTGACATAAAATTAATTTAATGACCTCACGAGGGTTTATTTCTTGTGATAATCATTTTATTTGTGAATCCGTTACATAAAATTGATTAACATGATTAGAGATATATCTGTTTTTATTTCGTATTTACTTGATTAACTTGATTGGATCAGGATCAATGAAATGAGCAGGTTGTATCACGTGTATTACATTTTCGGATCAGAATGATACTATAGTGAAAATTGCATATTGGAATAATTATCTTGTTTGGTTCTACAATATTTATTTCCGCTTTGAAGACGAACAAAAATAATTGAATGCTGATCACGTGTCGATAATTACAAAGTTGTTTTTAGATAGCATTTGTCTGTTATTGTAGAACTAAAAAACATTAAACATAAAAAAATATATTACGTGTACCAAAATACTTCGTATACTACCTGAATTTGAATATCGAATGAAACACGATTTGCCCGGAAAAAACAATACAAAGTAGGGAACAGTGGGTCGCACGTGATATAGTAGCCAAACAGAGCATTTGAACTCTTTGTAGTTCTCATGATCATGTCGTTCTCAAAATAACTCTTATGATCCAATTTTAAAATGTGCAATCTAGTATTGTTATGTTTTGCATAAATGTTTTGAAATTCTAAAATAAAACTTTTATGTTTTTCTCTCCAAATAGGAGCAACATTATACTTCGTAGTATTTATTGTCATTTTGAAGTCATTACTGCAAAAATAATTATATCACAGCATTTTTTATAGTAGTAAATCTTATTTCGAGAAGAAAAATATTTTAGTTTTTATTGTAGAATTTCGAAACATATTTACCTCATGTCACTTCAAAACTTCAAATTTAAATAAACTAAATAACACAAATCACTACTTTTTTGGCTGAAAATTACTACGGAGCATACCTGGGATGCATCATTTTGTGTTGCGCCTATTTCCAGATAGGGTCATGTGTTTCATTCTTTATCAAAGTGGTTCATGTGTATGAATTCCGTATCACAAGAGGGTCACGCCGTTAAAAACTTCTGAAAAAGACCATTAGAAGTAACTTCGATTTTCAAAAGTGCCCGGAAAATTAAAAGAAAAATACTGAAAGGTGCGCCTTGTCAAGATGACCTTCAAACCACCTTCGGCTCTAGATTTTTCAGATTTGTTTGAATTAATTTTTAAAAAATATTTCGCTAATATCACTTTTCCGGTGGACTTTCCGGTGACAAGGGTTGCTAAAAACAAAAAAGAAAGATGGCTTAGTGGTCGTCTTATTGAGGCGCACCTTCCGATATTTTTCTTTTAATTTTTCGGGCTCTTTTGAAAATCGGAGTTACTTTTAACGGTCTTTTTCAGACGTTTTTAACGGCGTGACCCTCTTGTGATAACGGAATTCAAACACATTAACCATTTTAATAAAGAATGAAACACATGACCCTATCTGAAAATGGGCTCAACCACAAGTACATTTTCCATACTTTTTCCATTTAATTTCCACATCGAGAAGTTTTCTTGCTCAGCTGCTCCATATTGCTCTCCCCTCTTCCTTTCCCAGGTCTCATAGCTGAAATATATGAAAATGATTATTGTTGTTTTTGTTTAATATTGATTTTTACTAATTGTTCATAAATAGATTTTGGGAGATGGATTCTTAGATTGTTTTCAAATCTTTGACAAATCAACTCTGTAATTGAACTGTTATTTAGCTCTAAGAGTTCTAAACAAAACAAAGTATGATACGAAGTAATAGAATGGATAGGAATGAAGAGTATAATACAAAGTTATAAGAAGGTGTAAGAGTTGTTTGAGAATATTGTATAAACTCAAATTTATAATTCCTTGTATTAATCCTACTAGATGATTATCAAATTCGTTGAATTCTTTTTTATTTAGGCAGCCTAGAGATTGTACCTAGAACAATTAGGGTATAATTATAATTATCAAGAGGTTTAATTATATGGTTATGATTATTCTACAAATAAACCATATTATCAAACATTTTCACTTCAACAGATTCAATCTTTTCAGCGTTTTTAGCCTTTTTAGTTGTTCTAGTTGTTACCAAATAGGCCCTCAAATGGGAAGGTTATCTTCGGCCAGAAAGTATGAGAATAGATAGATAGCAAATAGAATTGCTAATGATACGTGACAAAATCAAAAAATGATAAACTGTTTTTCATGCAATGCGATTGTTGAATCGTAGATTACATCATTACATCAAAATTTTCTATACATATTTGAAAGAAGAAAATAATTTAAATATCTCAAACTGTGAAGTGATGTGACATAAGTAACATAAGTATCTTAAACTTGCACATGTAATATATATATACCCTAAATCTTATATAAAAAGTTATGCTAGCACCATGACCATATATTTTTTCATAAAGGTAATTTATGTTGTTAAGTACGGGATACATAATTTTAAATACAAAAAACATTTATGAGGATGTGATTAAAATAAATTGTACCGGAGGTAATATTATTTATTTCACAAATAAAATTATAGAAAGTTAATTGCATTTTAATAAGGCTTAAGGTATTTTTAAATTATATAAATACTCCAACAAATTTTTATTTGTAAACAACATATAATCATGGTGTGAAATTAACTTTTATATAAAGTTTGGGGTGTATATATATATATATATATATATATATATATATATATTACATATGCAAGTTCCAGATACACACCTCACACCCCATTAAAGTTTGGGGTATTGAAATTACTTGTCACTATTTGTAACTGTGTTATGTGGAAGTAATTAATAGGTCGTTTGGCAACACTGTTTTTCGGCGTATAAGGCTTATCAGCCAACTTTTTCACCAAACACGTAATTTTTGCTTGCGCGCGCTGAATTGTGTAATAAGCAGAAAAAGTAAGGTTGAAGTTACTTTTCTGACTGTATTGGCTGAAGTTATTGCAGCTGACTATTTTAGCTATTTTTACATATAATTTTTTCTTTATTTTATTAATCAACATATTTTAAAAATAATTTTTTCTTAAATCAGCAGAATCAGTCAATGTAGCTGCTTCAGCCAGAACTTCGTAAATTTCAGCAGAATCAGCTAAAACAGCCAATTTTGTTGCTCCAAACGGACTCTAAAAAACATCTCATTTGAAAGAAGATATATAGATAAATTGTTGTAAAATTACGCGCGAATTAACTTATGTTTAAAGGTCGAGGGGAGAGAAATATGAATAACAAAATGAGGATAATACTAATCCTGATTAAATTTAAGATTTTTATTTACTTTTCTACTTGGCACGTAGATTTTTTCCACCTAAATAAAAGATTTCAAGTTAAAGATTATTGTTATATGAAATTTTTCTTGATATTTTGATAGTGCATAGGAGGCCCGTTATCTTCCATGCATGTGCATATATATTGCTTAGAGCTAGGCATATTTCCTTTTGCCTCTCCGTATTGGTCTGTTTCTTTGCAAAGCTAAGGGAGTCACAATCCCTTGGATAGATTGTGTAGGCCAGTTTAGATTTTCTTATCAATATGAATAAATTCTATATGTATCTCATTTTTATAACGAGACAATTTTTTGTTAATGCCGGCCTTGCTATTTTTGTTTTAGCGGTGGATGTGGTCTAGATTTTAACCCAATGTTTTAAAAGATTTATCTAACCGTATATTAAGCCACGTGGTGTATAAAACCTTCACCGACCAAAGTCTCTGGTGAGAGGATTACATTAGTCATATAATGAAATTATTGCATATATGTACGATCGACGAGTTGGAATGTTATGTTGATTGATCTAGGAGTTCGAACTTTTCAATTACTGACCCTATATTCTTCAATTCTTCATTTTCTTAGTTAAGAAGATCGCTTGAACAAATTTGAACTTTCAAAGACCTTGAGGTGTTAGAGTAAGCTAAGGTTCTCTTCGAAACTACGGGTTAAGATGTTTTTAATTGAATTTGGTATAATCGTATAATTTCATATCAAACTTAAATAGATCACACTTAAATAGACTCGTGAAACCAGAGAAGACCAGACTTCGACTCTTGTTGTAGAATGCACATGGAACATACGTCCACCGGATCGAA